GAGGAAGGGGGTTCGGAACTTGCAAGGCAGGGTGCTGACACAGTGTCGGCACTCCAAAAAATCCACTCCTCCCCCCCCCCCCCACGCTCCCTGTCACACTCCACCCCACCCCCTCCTTTTGAAAAGCACATAGCAGCCACTTGAACGCTGCAAATGCTGCAAATGTGGCCACGACAGTGCGCTGGCAGCTGGCAGTGTGGACAGACTGCAGCGCTTTCCCTACTCAGCTGTACGAAGTCAGGTTTAACTCACAGCGCTGTACAGCTGCAAGCGTAGCCAAGGCCTTAGTCTTCTAAGTCACCATTGTTTCATACCTCGGACAACAGCAAGGTGAAAGGTCTCCAGCAGGCACTGCTGAACAAAGGGGGTGGGGTCGTCCCAGGGCAAAATGATCCAATCTATCTGCCCCACATGAAGAGGGAGGCAAGGCTCTACTATACTGCTGTGTGAGAGATGTTTGACTGTGGAGACAATGCCTCCTTCCAGAAGTAGCATCACAGACAATAACCCCTAGTGAGGCAAGGGGAAGCCAACAGAATCGTAACATTTAAGCTGGAAAGTACTACCAGGATCAGTGCTACTACGATTCTGCTCCAGAAGAAAATTTCGCTCACATATATTCAAAGGGGCTCATAAGGATAGTATCTTTAACCCATGCAGATACAGGTGGGTGTCAGCTGAATATTCACATCCCTCTCCCTTGAACGATGGGCTGGAAAAATGGGGGAGGGGCCGTTTTCAAGGAAAGATGGACAATCATGGAATCCATTTTTCCATGAGCAACATAACAAAAACACATGAGACAAGTGCTTTGGGATTTAAAATCCCTACAGCACTTAACTAAATGAAGGAGGAAGGACACCAAAGCCCTGAGGTAAGTGGGGAAGTGGGATACCGGGAAGAAGCATGAGCAGGAGAGCACAACAGGGGAGGGCTCCTGCCTCATACTGAGAAAGCAGGACTATCAGCGAGTTATCTTAAGTGCCTATACACAAATGCAAGAAGCCTGGAAAACAAGCAGGGAGAACTGGAAGTCCTGGCACAGTCAAGGAAATTATGATGAGATTGGAATAACAGAGACTTGGTGGGATAACTCACATGACTGGAGTACTGTCATGGATGGATATAAACTGTTCAGGAAGGACAGGCAGGACAGAAATGGGGGAGTTGCATTGTATGTAAGAGAGCAGTATGACTGATTCAGAGCTCCAGTATGAAACTGCAAAAAAACCTCCGAGTCTCTGGATTAAGTTTAGAAGTGCGAGCATCAAGGCTGATGTCGTGGTGGGAGTCTGCTATAGACCACCAGACCAGGGGGCTGAGGTGGACGAGGCTTTCTTCCGGCAACTAACAGAAGTTACTAGATCTGGGAGAGCAATACAGTGGTGCACAGACAATGCAGGAAGTTTTTCTAAAGCGTAGGGGACAGGGAGGATGAAGTGTTTTCCTACAGGTTTTTGTATATTGCCATTCCTGATATCTGACTTGTGTCCATTTATCCTCTTGCGTAGTGACTGTCCAGTTTGGCCAATGTACATAGAGAGGCATTGCTGGCACATGATGGCATATATAACATTGGTGGACGTGCAGGTGAATGAGCCGATGATGTTGTAGCTGATCTGGTTAGGTTCTGTGATGGTGTTGCTGGTGTAGATATGTGGGCAGAGTTGGCATCGAGGTTTGTTGCATGGGTTGGTTCTTGAGTTAGAGTTGTTATGGTGCGGTGCGTGATTGCTGGTGAGAATATGCTTAAGGTTGGGGGGGTTGTCTGTGGGCGAGGACTGGCCTGCCTCCCAAGGTCTGTGAAAGTAAGGGATCATTGTCCAGGATGGGTTGTAGATCACTGATGATGCGTTGGAGAGGTTTAAGCTGAGGACTGTAGGTGATGGCCAGTAGAGTTCTGTTGGTTTCTTTTTTGGGCCTGTCTTGTAGCAGGACAAGATGACAACGGCACGTCCACCAATGTTATATATGCCATCATGTGCCAGCAATGCCCCTCTGCTATGTACAGTGGCCAAACTGGACAGTCACTATGCAAGAGGATAAATGGACACAAGTCAGATATCAGGAATGACAATATACAAAAACCTGTAGGAGAACACTTCAACCTCCCTGGCCACACACTAGCAGATGTAAAGGTAGACATCTTACAGCAAAAAAAACTTCAGGACCAGACTCCAAAGAGAAACTGCTGAGCTTCAGTTCATTTGCAAATTTGACACCATCAGATCAGGACTAAACAAAGACTGTGAATGGCTATGATTCTGAGTCA